AAAAAAAAAAAAAAAAAAAAAAAAAAAAAAAAAAAAAAAAAAAAAAAAACCTTGTTTCCTCAGCAGTGGAAAACTTCCCTTCGTCTCCTGGCTCCAGGCCTCCTCTCAGAGCAGAGAACCTGAGGAGAGAGTTTTGCCTCAGGAGTTCAACAGCAGCAGCAGCAGCAGACTTTAAGTCCTTCCCACCTGGCTTCCAGCCCTCCAGAAAAGGGTTTCTGTTCGCTGCTGCCTGCCCAGTGATTCAGCAAAACTCCTAATTCCAGACAAAAGAGAGTGAGCAGCTGCTCCAAGTTAAAAGCCCGTGGAGAAGGGATTTGCTGCAGGCCGGATCGACATGGGCTTTATGAGCTTTGCTGGGTCAGCCCCAAAGGAGCAGGAACTCCTTGGGGTGCCCTCCATAAAGAGCAGCCTTAAAGCTTCTCCCCCTGGTTTTCACCTTGCTCTGGGCTCCTGCAGCTGTCCCAGATGTGGTCAATGAAAAGTTCTGCCCACAGGCAGGAATTTCAGAGCTCCCGTGGCCCGTTGGACCCACCAGCTCGTTCATGAAGCCACGAGGGAGTGTGGGACACCCTTCATGGCTGCATCTCTCCTCCAGGAGGTGACCTGGGCTCTGGCTGACGTTCTCCCTCCCTTCTCTTTGGCAGGTTCAAGAAATACAAGCAGGCAGGGAGTCACTCCAACTCCTTTCGGTTGTCCAACGGCCGGACGGATGATACAGGTGAGAGGCCCAGAGTGGGGAGCAAAAATGCATCTCACAGAGGAGTCAGCTTTGTTCACAGAGTCACAGAACCATTTAGGTTGGACAGGACCACTGAGACCATTGGTTCCAGCTGTTCCCCCAGCCCTGCCAAGGCCGCCACTGACCCCTGTCCCCAAGTGCCACATCCACAGGGCTTTTAAATCCCTCCAGGGATGGGGACTCCACCACTGCCCTGAGCAGCTGGGCCAGGGATGGACAACCCTTTCCAGGAAGAAATTGTCCCAGTATCCAACCTGCCCCTCCCCTGGCACAGCTGGAGGCCGTTCCCTCTCCTCCTGTCCCTGTTCCCTGGGAGCAGAGCCCGACCCCCCCCAGCTCCCCCCTCCTGTCAGGGAGTTGCAGAGCCAGAAGGTCCCCCCTGAGCCTCCTTTTCTCCAGGCCGAGCCCCCCCAGCTCCCTCAGCCCCTCCTGCTGCTCCAGCCCCTTTCCAAGGTCCCCTGCCCAGTGTAGTGACAACACTTGAGGGCTTGGGAGGCTTTGTTCTCCCAGCTCATATTTTTGTAGGCATATGTTTTTTCATTTACATTTTCCCTTGTTCCTTGGTCTGATTTTTGTGTTTTCCATGATTTTGGCAAACTTTTATAGAATGAAGGTTTCTTCCTTCCGTTCACCTTTCATTCCAGTGATCAAACATTTGCCCTCACATGGTTGATACCCACTGAGGGTCTGAAGTTGGGCATCTCTATTCATATGTAGGCTCCAAAATAAGAGCTGAGGAGGATCCACCACTTCTTTAACTCAGTTCAGATGCTCTTCTGAGCTTCTTTCACGTAAACCAAACACCTTCTGAGAAGCACTAATTGAATTTCAGCACCTTTTTTTTTTTTTTTTGTGTTGGCTGCTGAGACCTTCCCTGCCCGTTTTACATCACTGTAAACCGAGGTGTGAACTTCATAATCCCTCGGCTGTGTTGGTGTAACCCTCACATGGCCTTTCCTGGCTTTGCTGAGGAACACAAGCAGCAGCTGCCTTTGCTGTGTCCTCCTGGGAATTGTGTCGCTGTGGTGGTGCCAGACTTGCCATGAGAGTGAGGGGGAAGTTCATGTTCAAAGTGAAGTGGTCTCCACCCTCAGTACTGATGACTTGCTCCTCATTGCCCCCTCCTGCCTCTATGATAGTGTAAAGCTTGATCCCATGATGTTCATTTTCAGAGGATCACGGAATCATTTAGATTGGAAAAACCCTCTGAGATCATCCAGCCCAACCGTTCCCCCAGCACTGCCAAGGCCACCACGTCCCCAAGCGCCACATCCACACAGCTCTGAAATCCCTCCAGGGATGGGGACTCCACCACTGCCCTGGGCAGCTGTGCCAGGAATGGAGAGCCCTTTGCATGAAAGGATTTTCCCCAGTGTCCATCCTAAACCTCCCCTGGCACAGCTGGAGGCCGTTCCCTCTCCTCCTGTCCCTATTCCCTGGGAGCAGAGCCCGACCCCCCCGGCTCCCCCCTCCTGTCAGGGAATTGCAGAGCCAGAAGGTCCCCCCTGAGCCTCCTTTTCTCCAGGCTGAGCCCCCCCAGCTCCCTCAGCCACTCCTGGTGTCCCCGCCCATGACAGGGGGTGGAACAAGATGATCTTCCAGGTCCCTTCCAACCCAAACCGTTCTGTGACTCAGTGAAAACGCGGGGATACCGAGGATGCGAAGTGGCCCTAAAAGCGGACGGGCCGAGGTGTAGGGGGGTCCCTGTGCCCACCTGGGTGTGGGTGACAGGTGCTGGGCATGGTTGGAGGCAGGTGGGAGGGCCCCTCTGACTCCTGGTGTCGTTGCAGAGCCCCAGAGCATGCCACTGCTCGCCCGCTCCCCCAGCACCAACCGCAAGTATCCCCCCCTGCCCGTGGACAAGCTGGAGGAGGAGATCAACCGCCGCATGGCCGATGACAACAAGCTCTTTCGGGAGGAGTTCAACGTGAGTGCCTTTGCTTCTTGCCCTTCAGCCCCACAGGCTGTGCAGGATTTGGGCTCAGGATGCAGATGATCAGCCTGATCCTCAGGGGTTTGTGTCCAAGGCCAGGTTGGACAAGGCTTGGAGCAGCCTGGGATAGTGGAAGGTGTCCTTGCCCACGGCAGGATGTGGAACTGGGTAATCATTAAGGTCCCTTCCAATCCAAACCATTCTATAATTCTCAGTAGTTCTCTGGTGACCAGTGACAGGACCCAGGAAAAGGCTAAAGTTGTCAGGGGAGGTTTAGGGTGGACCTCAGGAAAAGGTTCTTCCCCCAGAGTTGGGGGCACTGACCAGACTCCCCAGGGCAGTGGGCACAGCCCCAAGGCTACCAGAGCTCAAGAACACTTGGACAATGCTCTCAGACACAGTGTGGGATTGTTGGGGTGTCCTGTGAAGGGCCAGGAGCTGGACTGGATGATCCTTGTGGCTTAGCATATCTTTCCAGCTTAGCATATTCTGTGAGGTGGGAGGACCAGTTCTGTCCCTGAATCTGCAGTGAGGGTGGACAAGCCGCTCCCTCTCACACCCACTACAGAAAGCAGAGGTTTTCTAGCAACCAGTACCACAGGGTTACTTTTTCTGGATTCAGGAATGGTCCTGGATCTCTTGGGGTCTTCCAGAGCTTACCTGCCTGCTGGTTTCCTCCCAAGCTCTGCCTCTCTCCTTCCAGTCCTCATGGCTTAAATCCACAAACAGCCAAAACAAGAATGACCCCATCTCATTTCAGTGAGCTGTTAACACTGAAACAGAGTGATGACGATGTATAGGACAAAGCTTGGACTTCAGCTCTGAGTAATAATTAAGGTATTGTGCTTGCCCCACAATCCCAGAGCATCTCTTCTGAGATGGCTCCAGCCTCTTCTTGGCGTTGCTAAGCTCTGCAGCTTCTTGTGATGATAAAACTGTTTTGACTTGGCATTACAGAAATGGAATAAAATGAAAAGAATAGAATAGAATAGAATCATTAAGGTTGGTGGAAAAGCCCTCTGAGATCGAGTCCAACCATTCCCCGAGCACTGCCATGTCCCCAAGTGCCACATCCACAGGGATTTTAAATCCCTCTGGGGATGGGGACTCCACCACTGCCCTGGGCAGCTGTGCCAGGGATGGACAACCCTTCCCAGGAAGAAATTTTTCCAATATTCAATCTAAACCTCCCCTGGCCCAGCTGGAGGCCGTTCCCTCTCCTCCTGTCCCTGTTCCCTGGGAGCAGAGCCCGACCCCCCCCGGCTCCCCCCTCCTGTCAGGGAGTTGCAGAGCCAGAAGGTCCCCCCTGAGCCTCCTTTTCTGCAGGCTGAGCCCCCCCAGCTCCCTCAGCTGCTCCAGACCCAGGCCCAAGGCATGATATGACCCCATGAGGATGATGAGAAGGTCAAAAAAAAAGCCACTGGACTTTGTCCAGCTGGTGCTCAACTTGATCCCCTTGCTGGCCGTGCTTCGATGAAACCAAATAGGTGCAGTGAGTGCCCAGGGAATGGGATTTTTTTATTTATAAATACCTGATGGCCCTGAAGATTTCCGTTCCCAGGCTGTCAGCTGGATGGTGAGCACCTCCAGAACGTTCTCTCTTCTGTGCTGTTGAAAGAGGATTTGGAATAACAGCGCTGGGGAAGCACCTCCTGTGCTCGAGCGTGAATCCCTGGGACAGTGTCACTTGTCACCCCAGCACCCCCAACCACAGGTCCCTGGTGCTGCTGGATGAAGAATAACCCCCTGTGTGGGTGTTCCTTCCCATCACTGGGTGGCCTTGGGCGATGGGGGCTTAATCAGGTTGCAATTAGCAGCACTGTTAATGAGGAAATCTCAGCAGGAGCCTCCGCTGGCAGAAATGATCTCCTCGGTGCTGGCTGGTGGGTTTGGAGCTGGAGGCTTTGCTGCCACCTCGTGTTCATGGAGCCAGAGAGCCAGATTATCTCGTTTCCAAAGGGATTTGCTCTCTCTGGTCCAGCCCAGCTATTTAAATAGTCACTCTGAGCTCGGTGGGGAGGAGGAGCTGGTTCTGGAGCGGAGGTGAGGGGTGTGGGGACATATCCAGAGGGACGGGATGCTCAGATGTGACCTGTGCCAGCACATTGTGGTCTTGCTGCGCTGTGAGATCACAGAAAACCCCTTTTTTTCTGCCATTTCAGGCTCTCCCAGCGTGTCCCATACAGGCCACATGTGAAGCTGCTTCCAAGGAGGAGAACAAGGAGAAGAACAGATACGTGAACATTCTGCCCTGTAGGTATCGGAGCTGGTCAGGTGTGTGTGTGGGGGGAACACATCCA